TGGCTAGGAAGGGAAGTGGAATTTATCCCCCAATTTCTCCCTCCTCTGGCTCTCTCTTTGATTTCCTGCTAGTCCTTCCCATTCATAATGGATCTGTAAGGTAAACAAGGAATAACCAATCAGTGTACAAAGGTCAAGTAGACCCACATTTTAGTCATTTTTTTTTAAAAAAAATATTGTTCAGATTATTACAGTTGTTCCTCTTTTCCCCCCTATAGCTCCCCTCCACCTGATTCCCACCCCACCCTCTGTCCTTACCTCCCAAACTTCCACTGTCCTCATTCACAAGTGTATAATTTTTGTCCAATTTCTTCCCCCACCCCCCACACTCCTTTCCCTCCAAGAATTGTCAGTCCATTCCCTTTCTATGCCCCTGATTCTATCCTATTCATCAGATTATTCTGTTCATCAGATTTTTTATTCACTTGATTTTTAGATTCATTTGTTGATAGCTATGTATTTGTTGTTCCTAATTTTTATCTTTACGTTTTTCTTTTCCCCCCTCTTCTTAAAGAATACCTTTCAGCATTTCATATAATACTGGTTTGGCGGTGATGAATTCCTTTAGCTTTTTCTTTCAGTGAAGCTCTTTATCTGATCTTCAATTCTGGATGATAGCTTTGCTGGGTAGAGTAATCTTGGTTGTAGGTTCTTGCTATTCGTCACTTTGAATATTTCTTGCCACTCTCGTCTGGCCTGCATGGTTTCTGTTGAGAAATCTGATGACAGTCGTATGGGTACTCCCCTGTAGGTAACTAACTGTTTTTCTCTTACTGCTTTCAAGATTCTCTCTTTGTCATTTGCCCTTAGCATTTTAAATATGATATGTCTTGGTGTGGTCCTCTTTGGATTCCTCTTGTTTGGAGTTCTGTGCACTTCCTGGACTTGTTAAGTCTATTTCTTTCACTGGGTAGGGAAAGTTTTCTGTCATTATTTCTTTTTTTTTCTTTTTTTAAAATATATTTTATTGATTTTTCACAGAGAGGAAGGGAGAGAAGATAGAGAGCTAGAAACGTCGATGAGAGAGAAACATCGACCAGCTGCCTCTTGCACACCCCCTACTGGGGATGTGCCGGTAAGCAAGGTACATGCTCTTGACCGGAATCGAACCCGGGACCTCTCAGTCCGCAGACTGATGCTCTACCACTGAGCCAAACCGGTTTCTGCTATCATTATTTCTTTCAATAGGCCTTAAATATCCTGCACTCTCTCTTCTCTGGCACCCCCAAAATCCAGATGTTGGTACACTTAAAGCCATCCCAGAGGCTCCTTACACTATCCTCACACTTTTGGATTCTTCTTTCTTTCTGCCTCTCTGGTTGGGTGTTTTTTCCCCCCGCTCATTATCCAGATCTTTGGTTTGACTCTTGGAGTACATTGATCTAAGTTGAGTTTTTGTATATTCTTTATTCCATAATTCTGATGGTATGCTTGAAGTTGTCCCAGGGGCTCCTTACACTATTTTCATTTTTTAAATTCTTTTTTCTTTTCACTTGGTTTTTTGCTTCTTTGCATTTCAAATCTTTGACTTAATTCTTATGATCCTCTAGTCCACTGTTCAGCAAACTCATTAGTCAACAGAGCCAAATATCAACAGTACAATGATTGAAATTTCTTTTGAGAGGAGAAAACCAACTTCTGCTCATGGGCCATGAAGTTTCAGTTACACTGTATGTGTGTGTCTGCATGTGGTATTTTGTGGAAGAGCCACATTCAAGGGGCCAAAGAGCTGCATGTGGCTTGTGAGCCATAGTTTGTCGACCACTGCTCTAGTCTGCTGTTGGATCTCTGTATATTATTTTTTTATTTCAGACAGTGTATGTTTAATTTCTAGTTGGTCCTTTTTCATATCTTGAGGGTCTTACTAAATTTATTGGCCTTTTGTAGAAAATTCTTAAAAAACCTTATAACTGTGGTTTTGAACTCTATATCCAGTAGTTTGCTTTCCTTCATTTCTGTCATTTGTGACCTGTTTCTTTGTCTCCACATTTTGGCTGCTTCCCTGAGTTGGTAGAGTGGCTTTGTGTGCTAGATGTCCTATAGGGCCCAGTGGCTCAGCCTCCCCATTTACTTGAGGTGGATATTCTTGGTGCACTCCTTTGTGGGCTGTGTGCACAGTCTTGTTGTAGTTAAGCCTTGATTGTTGTTGGTGTCACTGGGAGGAATTGACATCCAGGCCAATTGGCTGTGAGAATCAGCTGTGTCTACGCTGGGAGAACTTCTGTGCTAGAGACATCCGTATGGGGCAAGATTTGCTTCAGTGGGGCTTTGGTGCTCACTAAGTCTGCCCCCTGAGTGTGTCCCTTATGGATCTGAGGAGTTGTAATCTGGAGGGTCCCACTATGATCACTGGGTACACTAGCTCTTAGATCTCTAAGGAGGTGCTAATTTAGCCTCTGCCTGAGGTCACTCAGCAGGAGCTATGGAGAGATCTGCAGATTCTTCTTCTTTGTTTGGGGTTTGGAGGTGTCTAGATGAGGCCCAGCTATGAAACAATGCAAGTGGCTGTGGGGCCTTGGGCCTTCTTTTGGATATTCTGGGTGGGGCTAGGTCTCAGGGAATTAACCATGTGGAGCAAACAGCTAATGCTGATCCTTAGCCCTGCCTTAAGAGGCCCCCAGGTCTCAGTGTCCCTCAGTAATCACTGCAAGCACCTCTGAGAGAAAGCTGCCATCAAGTTCCACCCAATGCCAGATAGGCCAATTTCTCCCCATATGAGTCTGGGCCCCCAGAGTCTGGCCTGGAACTGGAGTTCAGAGCAACCGGGAGCTTGTGCTTCCTTCTTGACTGAAAAAGACAACCATGTCCCCAGTTGCCAGCCCTTTCCATGCTTGCGCCTCCGTACCTCTGCACTTTACTTCCTCACCTCCTCTGAGTCTCAGTGTGCTTTTCTCTTTCCTTCTAGTAGTAGAATTTTCACTCAGCCAGCCTTCCTGTGGTTCTGGATGATGTCTGTTTTGTCTTTTAGTTGTAGTTTTTAAGTGGTGTTTTAGTTGTAGTTTTTAAGAGGCAGCAATTTCAGATGTTTACCTATGTCGCCATCTTGGTTTCTTCTCCACATTTTAGTCATTTTCATTAATTAATCCTTATTGACATAAGTACAGGATATCCCCCCAAAATGTATACACATTTAACAGCTGATAGTTCAGTTTTGAAAATGAAATGTATTTTAATAAGCACTGACTTTATAATTATTCAAAGTGTGTGTATTCATTTTTGGGAGGACACCCTATATTATGCACTAATTTTTCCAACCTGGCTGCAATTTAGCATTTCAATTGAAAATTTCAGATTTGTATTTTTAATTTCAGAATTGTTATCTACTTTTGGACTATACTTGTCTCTAGAAATGGCCATAGTTTTAGAGACTGTCTTGCTAGTATATAAACTTGCTAGATGTAGAAAAAAACTCATCTGATCTTCTGAACTTGACTATTAGGATCAATCAGTTGGAGTTCTAGCTCTGAACCCTCCTTGTATCACCTCAGGATGTTAACTAGGAGTTGGTTCAATCAGTGATGGATGACAGTGTCATCTCAGGAAATTCTCCCAAAATTCTCTCTAACCTCAAATAGTTTTTCCAACAAATTTTTTTTGCCACCACCTTCTACTTGATATTATGTTCCCATCATTAGACACCACTCTTCTGGACCAGAAAAAAATGTAGAAGAAGCTTATGATGTGAACTAGAAGGATAGTGAGACTAATTTACCTTTTCTCATTAGCCAAGGATTTTCTTTCTTTTTATATTACTTGGTTTTCTTTTGACATGCACAATAAAACTGACACTAAGGAATCTCAGACAAGTAAATGTTAACGTTTGAGTATAGAAAATCAGCAGAGTAAGCATAGTGATGGGCCATAGTGAGCTGGCAGTGTGAGTAGCCTGAAAAGTTGGAGAAAAGAGGTCTGAGTAGGATTTTTCTCATGAATTATCCCATTTTCCTTATTTGATCCTCACCATCATTCAGTGAGTTAGCTAAGGAATAGAAGATATCTTTAACAAAAGGTTAAAGATTATAAAACAAACAGAATAAAACTAAGGTCCAGATAGAGTTAAGTAGCTTACCAAGACAAGATGGCTCATAAGCCAGGCCACAAACAGGAAACTGTAAATATTCCCTATAATTATTGTGTGGCTAAGGGTAGACCACTTTGCTATATGTGGTTCATTTCCTTTTCCTTCTCATCGAATAAAAGAGTGAGAAATACAAAGTGAAAGGTTCTAAAATTTCCTTAAAAAACAACTTTGTGCAAAATATTAGTAACCCAGCTCTCTAGTCCTTTGGTTTAAGTCAAGACTCAACTAAGACTTGTTTTCTTTCTCTGACTTACCCTAGGCAAAGGCAAGGAGAGTGGCAGGAGGAGAACTGGGAGCAGTGATATTGAGGAAAAGACTTGGAGGTCTGGAGAATGCTCACATACACTCAAGAACTTAGATTCTACTGATGGGATGATCAACCATTTCAGTTTGCCTGGGTCTGTAGGGCTTCCCAGAATGTGAAAATATTAGTGCTGAAACTAGGTTTGTCTTGAGCAAACCAGGATGATTTGCTCACCCCACTCCTGTTCTCCTTTTTAACACATTATTTTTCAGTTTTCCCTCCATCTTTAGAAAATATCCATTTTTTGTCAAGAACTACAGCCTTGCATTTAGGGGCTATTGCATGAAAAACATTTATCTTTAAGTAATAGTCTCATGCTCAAAAAGGTGATATGCTCATAGTATGAGAAAGTGTCAGGAACAGAATATGTCCTAAGAAATAGCAGATCCCACTCCAGCTTATGAATTCACTGAGAGAAATGACCATGGAACTGCAGGCATTGTTTAAATTGTTTTCTTTTTTAAGTTTTTTATTTATTTTTTATTATTGATTTCAGAGAGGAAGGGAGAGGGAGAGAGAGGTAGAAACATCAATGATGAAAGAGAATCATTGATTGGCTGCCTCTTGCACGCCCCCACTAGGGATCAAGCCTTGTGACCTTGATTAGAATTGAACCTGGGGCCCTTCAATCCGCAGGCCGACCCTCTATCCATTGAGCCAAACCAGCTAGGGCAAATAGTTATCTTTTCACTACTTCCATCTTTGCTCCACAGACATGTATATTTAAATTCACACCAATGAAATCCCTCCACTGGATGAGGCATCAAGAAGTAGAAGACTGATCGAGCACTTAAAGACCTCAGAGAATGTGGAGAGTGGCTTGGAGGTGAGCAGTTGTAGGAACAAGTGTGCCACAGTACAAGATAGGATACTTCCAATCACAGTTTGGGCTGAGGTTCCAAAGGCTGAGACTAAAACAGCACATGTCCAGTCACCACTTGTGCCTGGGGAGGAGCTGGGTCTTCCCGTCAGGACATGTTGCATGATGGAGGTCAAAGAGGCTAGGGGAGAAGATTCCTTTGGGGTGGTTTGGTATGTCCTTCCACAAGAGAAGGGAGAGAAGTGGGTAGAAGTAGGGTGGAGAACAGAAGCCGACCTCCACATTCCCTCCCACACTCTCCAACACGCAAAGCCATCCAGGTCTCCAGGGTTTCAAGCTGGGATAGAGAAAAAAAAATCTATGTTAAATAAAATGGGGAACTTTGATGATTTCTTGCTACTGGATTCTTAAATAACTAAAATGTAACATTTGAGGACAGAGAATAATTGAGTTGCCAAAAAAATTCTGGAAAAATTATAGGACCGGTTCATTATTTCATCCAAGGATTATTTAGAAACAATTCTTAGGCCCTGGCCAGTGTATCTCAGTTGGTTGAGTGTCATCCCAAGTGAAAGGTTGCTAGTCAGGGCACATGCCCAGGTTTCAGGTTTGATCCCCAGCCTGAGTGTGTGTAGGAGGCAACTAATTGATGCTTCTCACATTGATGTCTCCCTTTCTCTAAAAAAATTAATAAAAACATATGTTAACAAAACAGAAATGGCCGAAACCCGTTTGGCTCAGTGGTAGAGCATCGGTCTGCAGACTGAAGAGTCGCAGGTTCGATTCCGGTCAAGGGCATGTACATTGGTTGCGGGCACATCCCCGGTGGGGGATGTGCAAGAGGCAGCTTGTCGATGTTTCTCTCTCATCGACATTTCTAGCTCTCTACCTCTCTCCCTTCCTCTCTGTAAAAAATCAATAAAATATATTAAAAAAAAAGAGAGAAATGATTCTTATGTTGGGTTTAAGGGGGGAGTGTGCGTGTGTGTGTGTGTGTGTGCGTGTGTGTGAGTGCCTTTGTATGATATTGTGTGAGAGAGACCCTATTTAACCATAGCTGGCATTTACATAGTGCTAGTTCTGTTACTTGGTATAGGTAATCATGACTTATAAAATAGGTACTATTATTACACTCATTTTACAGATAGGGAAATTGAGACCCAGAGAAGTTGAGTGATTTGCTAAGGTCACACACCCAATAAGAGAGAAGCTGGGGTTTAAACCCAGGGTATAGCTCATGTGTTTATACTCCTAATCACACTGTGTTTTGCTTTTACCTGAGAAAATGGTAACAAAAGATGCTGTGAGACTGTTAGGAGAAGGATTTCTAAATGAGCTATGAGAGCAATGGCCTCAAAGGAGCAGATATGTAATAGAAATATGCCAAGTGCCAGCACTTTTGACCTCCAATTGGAACTGGATGCAGGGTTATTCTGGAACTGCTGTAGGCTTTCACCCCCAGAGGACTCTCAGGAGACCAGCGATGGTGGGCTGCCACTTCTGACCAACAGAAGAGACATTTATATTTTATTGACATTTATATTTTCAGATAATATTTTGGGATAAAGCAACAGCATTATGTTATTGTGATATCTGAATAATTCACTGAACAATGAATAGCATGATTTTGGTTCATTTCTTGCATTTATTTTATGAGCTTCTAGTTTTTCATTTTTTTCATATGTTTATCCTCAATTCTTTAACATGAAACATCAAATTTTTATATATAAATTTAACTTTTCAAATGTTCAACTATATCAGAATATTATCTTTTTATACTATAAAGTTTAAGCTTACCCTTGGAGAGGCAATTAATCAACACCAGCTGCTGTACTCAGTTTAGGAGTTTTATTCCATTAAATGATTAGAACAAGTCCATGCATAATGGATAGTTTTACTACCTTAGACTAATTACTTTATATTTCTAATTTTTGAAAATAGAATAAAAATTAAAATTTAGACTCAAAAGAGATTTTATTCATTCTCTTTTTTTGGTTTGTTTGTTAATCTTCACTAGAGAATATTTTTCCATTGATTTTTAGGGAGAGTGGAAGAGAGAGGGAAGGACAGAGAGAAACATCAATGTGAGAGAAACATTTTGATTGGCTGCCTACTAAACAAGCCCTGACCATGGTCTGAACCAGGGCTCAGCCTGCAACCAAGGTACATGCCCTTGTCAGGAATTAGACCTAGGACCCTTTGGTTTGCAGGCCAACGCTCTATCTAGATTTGAGCCAAAATGGCAAGGGCCATTCATTTTTTAAAACAGACGTTTTGGCCGATTTTTTCCAACCATTTTTAACTGTTTTTGATCCACCAAATGGCAATTTTATGTGATTCAAATGACTGCTGTATGCCTGGCACTCCACTAGGCCCTGCCATAATAGTCTTACCCACCCATCAGTTTGCAAATCAGAAATGGAAACAAAGCTGGCTTTTAAAGTCCATTGATAAAACTATTATAAGAACATAAAGAATAATACATTTCTAAGAGCTAAACAAAAATGTGATTGTTAGTATATGCATTGGAGGTGTAGTTTTATTTCCTGTGGATTTATGGTTCCTATGGCACAGTTTATTTTCCTGTTCCAAATTTAAACAAGTCTTATGTCATAGGCACTCAAAAAATGAAAAAAAACAAAACCCTCCTTAAAGTGTAAACAAATAAAAACATTATGAAGTGGGAGAGTCTGAAAACACGCCTATTTATTTTCATGTTAAGGTGGAAAAACCTTTAGCCTCCTCGGTAAATTTTTATCATATTAAATGACTTCTGGCTAGCCAAGTCTTCAGGAGGATAAAAAATAGTCTGTGGGTTAAATGTACTTGCTAGAAACTACAGGACTGGAATGAAAGCAACATCTGATTTGTACTCTCAAACAAGAAAATCCAAGAGGGCAGTAATGATGGAGTCATGAGGCTTTTTCCAGGAATGATCAATAAAAGAGGGGAAGTCAAGTCCTACTTTGAGCACTGGAGTTCAATAAAGAATAAAGTATAAGAGCTGAAAAAGAAATCAGAACTACATTAGTTGGAAGCACATACTGGTAAGAGAAAGTCCAAACAGAGGCATATGAAGAGGAATGGAAAGAAACAAAACTGTTCCATTAAAAAGGTGTTTAAGGGCTTATTCTCCCTCAGCATGCGTGCATAGAAATTCCATTAGTGTTAACAGGACCTAAATGCATGACTCAAGGGGAGAATAGAGTGACTACTTGTGTATAAGTAGTTAAATGAAGTCTAAGAAGAGTCAATTAAAAACCACAAATGATAGTTTAAGAGTCTAAAAGACATTGGTATCTGCAAGAGAGGCATTTAGTTTTAATTAGTGGAATAATCCGTTTTTCTTTTGCTAAAGACAAAAGTTATGAAAACGGCAGAGGGAAAATAAGCCCAAATGTAGTTATCAAAATCATTGCTTAAACTTAAGGGATATAGTCATGCACTCCAGATGGTAAAATTGACCCCTTGTGAAAGATTTATAATTTGCATTCAAATTGTAATGTTGAGTTATATAAGGAATTCAAATCCACTGCCCATTTTTCCTAGCCTTCATAGCCAGAAAGAAGAGAGGAGAGAGAGTCAGAGAGGGAGAGGGGGAAGGAGGGAGAGAGAGGGAGGCAGAGAAGGAGAGAGAGGGAGTGAGGGAGAGAGAGAGACAGAGTGAGAGAGAGTACGAGAATTTTGGTCTTTAGTTACTTACAAAAGGGAGAATAATCAAACCAGATTTTTAAAAGAGACTAATTGTACACAACCTGGTAGACAGAAATCTTTTTATCAAGGGAGAAATTGTTTCTGGAAGAATAATTTTGAGAGTACTTTGTTTTAGTTGAAGTGAATAATAAAGTTCTTTATCCAGAAGAGACAGAAAACTAAGGGTCTATAAAAAGAGTTGGGGGTTACACATAAAGGTTTTCTTTATGAGTATTTATTACTTATGTCTTGTAAGCCATAAGTTATTTCAAACTAGCCATGTTGTAATCCTCTACTTTACTCCTCATAATTCTATGTGTATTAAATACATGTTCAAACATTTAAGTAAAAAATAATACATGAACATGAAGGTGGATTTAAAAAAACACATAATGTCTTAACTAAAGTGTTTTCTCTGAAGTGTCTCATTTATCCTCTGCTTTTGGAAAATGTTGAATTTGCACTGATAAATGCTTTAGAAGGAAATTAAATACATAACAATTTATGTGATCTCTTTTCTAGTAAAAGGAACTACATTTAGGAAAAAGAATGTGAGTGAATTCTCCTTTGGCTGAGTTTAATAAGAAGCAGATCTTAGAGGGATCTTAGAAGGACTTGATATCATATACTTGCATTAAACTATAATCCTTCACTCTATGATAGCTCCAATATTATGGCACTGAAGTCATAGTTCTTGTTGTAAAGTATTAAGTCTCTAATATTGCTATCTCCGTCCCTTCAATTTATTTCTAATCGTTTAAAAGGGTTCTTTATATTTGAAGATCTAATACAGCAATATTTTTTAAGTAGAAGGGTTATGAAACTTGCACATTCACAGGACTAGCACCAGGTGTATATACACGTCTATGACTTCATATCAGCTTCCTCCAAGTTAGGAAAAGTTAAATATGGGAAGTCTGAGAAGACTGTATTATGTGCAATGTAATTTCTTTACTTATAGTGCATATAAGGTAGTACATGACCAGAAATATGAATTTAATTTTTATTTTTTAAAATATATTTTTTATTGATTTCAGAGAGGAATGGAATGGAAGAGAGAGATAGAAACATCAATGATGAGAGAGATTCATTGATTGGTTGGCTCCTGCACAGCCCCCTCTAGGGATCAAGTCCACAACCTGGGCATGTACCCTGATTGGGAAT